GTGCCGGCTTGGGAAGGGGTTTGGGGGACACCCGGCTTGGGAAGGGGTGCATTTGACAGCCGCGGCAAGTGACAGCCGCGGCTGTACTGAGCATGTGCAGGGCATCATTGCTTGGTTATGTCCGGGATTTTCTCACTTGTGTGCGAACAGCAAATACGGTTCCCGGGAGCACTTCATCGTGCTTTCGTTAATTGCGCAATGATGCTAGTTGAGTCTGATAGCCATTTACGTATTGTGGTTTATTCCTGGATTTCTTTTGGTTTATTCCTGGATTTATTCTTATTTCGCTTTCTTATCGCTTTGTGGCCCGCGTGTGATAAGGTCCATAGATGATCCAGTCAGGTTACTGTGTGGTCTTGTGCCATCTTTTTCCCCCCGAGAGCAGTTTCCGAGTCGATTCTAGGTGCTGGATGAAATCTTGCTTTGCCAGGATCAGGCCTGTGGGTGTATTAGCAGCATCCAAGTGAGTTGTTGGAGAAGTTTGCTCACTTTGAGGAAAATTCTGGGGAAAGAGATGCTTTATGGGAGCAGATATTGATGCCATGGGGCTGTTTCACACTACATAATTATAGTTCTATTGATTCCACTTTAAATGACATGTTTCCTTCCATCTTATGGAAAACTGTTTTTTTGTTTTGTTTTGTTTTGGGAAGGGCATTTCTCAACCAGGAAGCTCTAGTGCTCCAGGTTGTTTCTTTAAGCTGGGTTTTTTGTTTGTCTGTTTAAACCAGTTTTGTTTTTGTTTTTTGCACTAATTTGGATTACTCCAACATAGGATTAAATTAAGTTGCAAAATGTAGTTCAGATGTTCTGGCTACTATCTTAATGGTTCTAAACCCCCCACACACCCCTGCGCTTTTAAAGCAACTTGTTTTGGTTGAACTTGTCTTAGTTGAAGGTTTTAGTTCCAAACTGCATTTCTTGCCCTATAAAATAAAGTGATTAAAAAGAAGCAGCTGACAACTGGATACTGGTCTCAGAATGAACAAAACTGCCAATAAACTGTTAAAGTTAAAACGTTAAATTCAAACAGTCATTATTGTTCCATTGAGAGGACTGGAAAATGGTAACAATAGCCAGACTTATATATATATATATATATATATATATATATATATATATATATATGTTGAACTCAGCACTCTCTAAGTCAGGGACCGGCAACCTACGGCCCAGGGGCTGGTTAAGGCCCCGGGCCCTGGACTTACCGGGCCTGGCCGAAGGTTGCCGCCGTCGCTGCTGCCGCGCGCCGCCATCGCCGCCGCACGCTGCTGC